AGATAGATAGATAGATAGATAGATAGATAGATAGATAGATAGATAGATAGATAGATAGATAGATAGATAAAAAGATAGATAGATAGATAAATAGATAGATAGATAGATAGATAGATAGATAGATAGATAGATAGATAGATAGATAGATAGATAGATAGATTCAGTATTGCTCTTAAAAGTATTTTTAGTGGCTTCCACCAGACATATTCAATTATACCTTATTCATCTCATATCTAAAGATATCCTTATTTACGTATGTTATAGTACTGTTTAGTTACTTTAGTTACTATAATATTTACAAAACAGATGTCACTACTGATATTATGGCTTTTGCTAAGACATTCTTCTTTATCCTGGTGCTCTCATATGTATTGGGACTACCAGAATTCCCAGCCTGTGGCAACTCTCTACAGGTGCATATAATAAAAAATAGAACAGTTCTAAAACTGCAATAGTGATGCATGATCTGTAGATTATTAAATTCATGGGGCTTGCAAATTATTTTTATGAAAGTGGAGTCCCTAAAATATTACAATCCCCCATGGCTAAAAAAAAAAAAACCTGAAACCCTGAAGCAAAAGGTAAGTATACACAACAAATAGAAACCTAACCAGGCATTTATATGACATTATTGTTTTTGAGTCTTCAAATTTTGATCCTTGTAAGTTTAAAAAAAAAGATGATAAAGTAGTCCTCAACTTACAACTACAATTGGGCGCAAATTTCCATTGCTAAGCAAGATAATTGTTAAGTTTTGCTCCATTTTTCAGTTTTTAAGTGAATCACTGCAGTTGTTAAGTGAATCGATAAGTCGATAGTCGATAAGTGAGTCTGGCTTCTCTCATTGACTTTGTTAGTCAAAAGGTGGCTGGGAAGGTTACAAATGATGATCACATGATCCTCGGACAGTGCAACTGTCTTAAATATATACCAGTTGCCAAGCGCCCAAATTTCATGCAACCATGGTGACGATACAATGGTCCTAAATGTGAAAACCTGCCATAAATCCATTTTTCAGTGCCATTATAACTTTGAATGATTACTAAATGAATGGTTGTAAATTGAAGACTATCTGTACTAGAGGATTTCCAATCTCAGCAACTGAATGTCACACAAGCATTAACAACACAAGTTCATTATATGGTCTAGCATAGGAGTGTCAAACTGGATTTCTTTGAGGGCTGAATCAGCATTGTAGTTCTCCTCCGCAGCTGATGCCTCTTGCAGCACCCTGCCAGCCAAAATGGGGCACGAGAGGCCACGTGCGGCCCCCATATGGCCCATTTTTTGCCTGGATGGCCTCCTGAAACATTTTTCCAGCCCAAATAGGGTGGGTGGGGCCATGGACCAGTCTTTTGCTACTTCCAAGCAGGCCAGATTTAAGCACCCTTAAATCTGGCCCAAAGGGCCTGCTTGGAATTGGCCCACAGGCCTTGAGTTTGATACCCCGATCTAGCAGCTCACATGCTTTATTTATACTGAGAATTTAAAATAAAGTGTATTCCTAAATGCCAGTACAGAACTTGGTAATCTTTTATGGAAAAATTCTAAGTAACAGTTCTGCTCAGAATGAACATATAAAATGGCCTAAGTATACATGGGATTGTAGTTTACATTGTTAACTCTTCCCAGATAGACAGATCACTTGTCCTATTTTTAAAATTTCTACTACACATATGAAGCACAGTAAATTTATCAACATGAAAGCTACCTTACATGAATCAGTCCTTTAGGTCATATCCATTCTTCCACAGATAACACAATATAATCTATACTGGCAAGCAGTGGTCTCCAGGATCATATGGAATTTTTTTCCAGTTACATAAAGAGCTGCCACAGATCAAACCAGGATTAATATATCAGGAATTTAGAACTGAAACTGTAAGCGTTCATTGTCTGAGGAAAGGAAGATTCTACTGAAAAATTTCTAAAAGCTGTGCCTGAATCCAATAGGAATTCTCTCTCCCCTTTCTCTCATATTGTACTTTATGCTATCATCATAAACGTATGCTATTTGGTGGATCTTATCTTTCTTTACAACTCACATGATTAAAACTCAACTATAACAACTTAATATTAAAATATTTTAAAAGCATAAATACCACTAAAATAGGATTCTATATTCCAAGTCTTAAGTGTCTATACACAGTGGTGCTGCTGTCTATAAGAGAAAATACTTTTGTGCCTACTCAAAAGTAACTTCTACTAAATTAAATAGTTTATCTCAGGTATGTGATTATAGAATGGTAGCATGAAATGCACATGGAAAAATATTTAGTACACTCTGATTCTATGTCTAATAATAGGAAAAGCTACTGCTTACCTTTTCTTGTCTAATCTTACTCAACTGCTCTTGATTTTTGAATATCTATATGTGTAACTTTACCTCTGTCAACTTGAACCTACTCATTACACAATAAGGTAATTCATTATACTAAATATACTAAAAAAAGCATTAATAGTTACTAATATCACTATAATAAAAGCAATTATAATCCTTAACAATGCCACCATATCATGGTTCAAGGGGCCTAAGAGAACCAAATGTAAATGGAAAAATGTCTGTGCACAAGTCTGCATATTAAATCCATACTAAAGTAAGAATATGGGATAACTTCAGTCACAAGTTTATTTAATTAATAACAAAAACTTATTACCCTTAGTGGCAAGCCTGGCTTTACTCTAAAATTCATTGTATGTGTGTATGTATTAAATAAAACATTTTAGCAGACAGTACTACTTTGTGCAATATCTCTGAGTTTGTCTTTTCTGCAAGTAATTATATTGAAAATAAACTGCAACATATATAAGCTAGAATTGCAATTATCCCAAGCTAATGTTTTTACACAAAGTTTTAATTTTTCTGCAGCTTTGCACCCGAGTATTTTTATGGTTGCTTGGTAATGGTACCAAGAAGTTCTTTCTTGGTAGTCACAGAACCCTTTTGCTATACAATGAAAATCACATATTTCTTAACACCAAAATCTGAATTCTTCCAATATACTTCATTTCACAGTTGGCACTTGAAATTGCTCAGAGATGCAGGGAGTTGTAGCTTAGCAACATCTAAAATCCAGAGACTCCCTCTCTCTGGAACAGGTGATGCAGTTTTAGATCAGTGTTTTAAACTTACAATTATTTAAGCTTATATCTTATAATAATATATTGCGAGGATAAAATTTTGAATCAAACCTTTTGTTTGTTGATTGTAAATAAACATTACAATAAAAACACTTTGGGATTTCAATATCCATACACAGTTGCAATGCAGTGCATCATTTACATTTTGATAAGAGGTTTGGAAACAATCTCAGTGGAAGCTAAAATTTACAAGGGCTAAAACGCAATGTAGTGAATTATAACAGCAAAATGGAAGTTTGAGATATACCTATAGGGTAAGCATCTTTAAGACATTTTATAGATTCTATAACTCCATATAACCAGAAAAGCCACAAAGTCTTGGGGTGGGGGAGGAGAAAAAGGACTGGCATACATTATAAAGAAGAAGAGAAAGGTAGCATAGATCTTAAGGATAGAACAGCTTTTTAACAAAAAGAAACCCCGCAACATTAATCTGGTTTTAAAAGTCAGCGAGGCTCCAGTGGGCTCAAATTTTCGATTTTCCGAAAGTGAAGAATTGGGCCTTTCTACATAGCAATAAATGCCGCCACCGGACGCTTTCTCTGGATTTGAACGCGACGTACGACTACGGCTCTTTACAAACACAACTGGCCCAGACACCGAGGTCAGGGTCCCGTCACGGATGACAGTTGGAACACCACAAAAGAGGAACTGGGCGCGAACGAAGCTTGCCCTCCATTAGCCTCTCATTTATCAGCCTCCCCACCCCCGGGAAAAGGCGGGCCCCCAGTTGAGGTACAGCGCCGCTGATTGGTCAGACAGAAGTTGAAGTCGGGCGCGCGAGGGGGCTAACGGACATTTCGCCCTCCCTCCCGGTGGACCTCACCGCGTTCTTCTTCTGCACCATCTTGTCCATCTTTTTAGCGATGCGGATGATTTCATCTTCGGTGCTCATGGCGGCTGCCGGGTCCACGGCGGCGCCTCTTTCTCTCTCTCTGTCTCTCTCTAATGGGCGACTGAGGAGCAGTGAGCTTCAACCTTCGATGCTGCTTCTACGCCACGAATGCCGACGCTTTCAGGGCAAAAGCAAAGATGGAGCCGCCAAATCACTGTCGGGGTCGCTGTGAACATCAACCGGCCAGCAACGACAGCTCGACAGCCGTGGCGCCAGGCCTTGCTGATCAAACCTCGGTAGAGAGAGCCAGGCAATGCTCCGGAAAACCGAAAACATCGATTAAGGGTTAAAAAGTGTGGGGTGGAGCTTCGTCTCCCTTCAGAGTTCCGACCGCTTAGCGGAAGTTATCAAGCTCTCTTCGGGGAGAGGGAAGCGACCCAAATGACACAAAGGTGTAGAATCTTTGTAACTTTGTAACCTCAGGACTTTAGGCTGTGAGTTGTTCTGTCTTGACAAATGGGGGAAAAAAGCAGCAGTGGTTGCGATCTCGAGAGATAACATAACTATTTAGGCGTGATCCGGGTGTGTTATACTACAAAACTCACGTCCAAATCAGTGGTGGGATTCAATTTTTTATTACCAGGTGGGCGTGGCAGGGGAAAGATACTGTAAAATCTCCAGTCAGAAGTGGTATTTGCTGTTTCTCCGAACCACTCAAAATTTCGGTTCTCCAGAACTGGTCAGCACCTGCTGAATACCACCTCTGGTCCATATTATGGCTACAGTCCAATTTATTTGGAAGGCTATGGCTTGTCAAAGCTCGTCAAAGAGGTTTCTTCAAGGATCCAGTTTCCTGAAATTAACTTTGTTCATCTGTATACTGCCTTTTTGTCCTTTTTATTGAATATATAAAAATAGAACAATTCTAAAACAATTTTAGAACAGCCATGGGTGCAATATTCTCTTTAGGATTTAAACCTGTGATAAATTATTTGAATAAATGTATATTTGATCTAGAATACAAGAGAAAATATAAAGTTCAGCAAGAGTCCTTGGCAGGTGTATTTAGTACTGATTTACTAATTTAGTCAGAATGGTTTTGCAATTATATGTGCATTGGGATTTGATGAGATGGATTTATATGATGCAGTAATTCTACTTTCCATTGTAAACTGTAATAAAGTACATTTATGGCAAAGCTTCAGCCTGAGCTCATTTTATTATTCTTGTAAACTATATAAGATACCAAAAAAGCTTTTATAGAACGTTAAGGTTCACAAAGCATCTGTAGTTTTATTCTTGCAATAATGCAACAATATATATATTTTACTTACCATGGAAATAACGGTTTTTTTTTTATCTATATCAGCTTGTGCATACTTATAACTGCAGTTTGGATTACATGTTCAAATTTAAACATGATCATTAACAATGGTTGCTTTGTTGATACACTAAGTCATACAAAGTTTGTAACCAAATTTTACAGTTCATCTTTTATTAGTTTATGGATTGGTGAGTTACATAATATGAAAATGTGCTGACCAAGTAATAATTTACCTAACCATGGATAAATGTATAGTGCAAATGTGGCTAATTTTAATATAATGGTCTCAAGCCTTGGCATTCTGCACCAGCTGTATGGAATACTGATTTAATACTTATTAACCTGTTTAAAAAGTGATCCACAGCTGTGAACAAATCTTTATTTTCCCTGCAACAATCCTATGAGGTAGACTGGGATAAGAAATAGAATGACTGGTCCAAAGTCATCAGCTGGCTTTCATGTTAAGGTGAGAGTTGAACTCATGGTCTCCTGCTTTCTAGTGCCTGAACCAGTAGATCACACTGGCTCTCTTTGGTTTATGATATCTAATAATATGCTACATATTTTGCTTAATATCTTCTAGGTGTGTAAAGACATGCCTGTTATATATGAAACTCAAAAAACAATTGGATAAATTTTATTGTGGTGAGCCTGATCATTAAAGTATCTTAATGAAAATTATGAATCCAAATATTGTTTCTCATATGCTGCACTTAGTTTTTTAAAAAAAATTATATATAACTTACTATATCTCTTCAATGAACAATTTATAATTTTTCTTGTTTAATAATTGTAGAGATGCATATAAGGGATACAGCATTTGTCATACAACAAGAATTGTTTCATTCATTGATTGTTCAGAATTTATTCACAGTAACAGATTACAATTTCCATCTAAGATGTTTCAGTAGATTTCTTGCCATAAACATAGTATAAAATCAAAGTGTTATCTTAGCTACGAATCTCCTAAAATATAAGATAAAGAAAAGCCAAATTGTTTATAAAATACTCCAGCCTGAACATATGGCTTCATTTACATCCTATACATTCTCTTCTGGAAACAATATTTGACAGTCAATAGCACCTATTTATTAAAAAAAAAAGCATTTAGAATTTACTGAAGTACAATACACTTCCTAAGGCAAACATTCAATTAACAGACCAGAAATTCATGTGAGTATGCCTTCAGCAATTCATTCATTCTATATTTCAAAATCAACTAAAACTAACCCTATCAGGATAAAAATTGTGATGAATTTATTTGCCATTGTGACAGCATTTAGGGTCTGATATAATACAATACAGACTGGCCATTTTATTTAACCATTCCAATTAAGAACAATTTAATACTCAATATTCTACAGTTTGAGTGTTTAGCTAAGTATTGTATGTCAGATTCCAAAGTAAACTGAACGTTATTTGGGTGCTACTATATGTTGATTCAGTAGCTCCACATAAAAGTTTTTTAAGTTTAAAAAATGAGATTAATCAAAGTTCTGGTTTGATTTGCATTTCTGATGTTTAAAAGAACTAAAGCAGTTACCATTACATAATAAATATTTTAACAGACTACTTTCTGTTAAGTCAATGTTTGAAAATCTTGCATGTTTATCGCTTATAAAAAAAATCTCTGAATACTGTCAAAATGCTTTCTTCTTGGAGCATGTAAGCATCTAGTCTATAATAAAAACAAAATAAACTGATAAAATCACTGTTCCCATATTAAAGTCCGATGTACACAAACTCTCACAGAGATTCCTATAATTAAAATAGTTCAGAGATGCTTTCAGTATAGAAACATTTACTTCTTTCAAGAGCCAAATTCAGTTTATTAGAATCCAGAATCTGCATTTTAAAATATTGTTTCAGGCTGCAATAAGGAACAAACTTAGGTTTCCTTGCTTTTCAAGTTCCATTATATAACTAAAGAGTAAGTCCAATTAAACCTCTATGATAGTAATACACATCAGGAAAAAAAAATTACAATTTGAAGTTATGTATTCCAATCACAGCTTTCTTGCCCAGTTATTTCTGCTGGTATATAGATTGCTCTCCGTTTAATTATCTAAAGGCCCAGCTAGTATCAAGAAACATGATGCCAGAACATAGACAAAAGTGTCAAAGGGCATGATTATCTGCTCCACCAACAAGTAACCAATTACTTTTTAATTCTGTATTTAAGTGCTTACAAGCTGCAGATGTAATGAGTGATTCCATTATGTTCCACGTTTCCTTAAATAAAATCACATTACTGTATAGAAGAAATTTCAGAAGGTGCCATTTTACCATCAATAGATACACAGCAGCAATGTGATGCTAAAAAAAATCAGCAAAATATTGGGATATGGTGAATGGCCTAAAGGCAAAGAATATATCCAGTTTTTTCCCACACATACAACATTGAGCACAAAACTTGTACACTATTTCTTAAAGGATTCTTACAATTACGCTATAGAATTAAGGATTTTTAAATTTCTATAGCTATATAAAGTACATATAGAAGTAATATGTATAGATTTAGCGGTGTGTATGTACAAAACTTGGAACTTTTGCAGGAAGGTGTATTTATTGGAAATAAAATTTCAAGTCTTATTAAGAACTTAGATGGAAAATTTGTCATGACAAGGGTGACGTAGTACCTTATTTCTGAATGACCTGGTCCAGGGACATTGAAAATGTTGCACAAACTGTGAACAGAACAGCTAGTTTGTGGTGCTCTGCACCAAACTGAACCATGCTTTGTTATTCAGTGGTGGAGGAAACAACAGAAAAAATCCAAGGCTGAAGGGTTGCCTTGGTGATGGCATATTGGTTATCAGTCGCAACTGGGGAAGAGAAAGCAAATGCTGGAAAAGTCATCTGTAAGGTGGGTGGAACAGGCAGGCAGTATGATATGCCATGCTGAATATCAGCAGTAACGGTTAAAGGCAAGCCACGGGAAGAGCAAGGAGATGGCAGCAATGCATAGGCCTCGGTGAGGAGGAAATAATGTGCATCAGTCTTAACCTAACTTTCTCCAAAAAATCTACATTGGTATCCCTCCAGATTTTGTTTTGAACAACTCAACATTACATTTCGGATGAGCTGTGTTTGATTTAGAACAGTTCAACCAAATTTTCACACAATTATCTTTTTCAAATTTAAAATAAAATATACTTTGTATACACCCCTTCTCTCATCTCTTATGTCAGTTGATTGTGCAATGCTTTAAACAACAACCTTGATTTTTTTGAAGCAGAAAAAGTTAAGAGTAATACATACATTTTCTGACTTTGATTTTTAAGAACTACTTAAAAAATTTAAAGCTCAAATTTTGCAATATATTAAACTTTCTAATAATTTTTGTTATATTCTATATATAATTGAATGACCTCTATGTCTACATTTATCTCAGTAAGGACAGCTGAATGAGAAACATTTGTTATAGAGATAAATACTTTTTCAAAGATTCTAAGTAGCAGGGCACACATTTAATATAAATACTGTATTCCTCCAAGGTATAGGGATAATTTAAAGACTTGAGTCTTACCTTGAACATGCAATAATATTGGTTAAATGTTAAGAATACTCGTTCTACCACTGCATGCTTAGTTTTTATATACTGCATATACAAATGTCAATTTAGCAAGTAGTTATATAACAGGATTTGGAAAAAAAATCTTGCTCTGAATTATAAAAGGGCTCCATAACTTTAAATCTGGAATGATCTAGCAAGGAAGAGAATACCTAATTATATTCCAACATGCCTTTCCACTGCCATATATCTATGCTATGGCCAATTGGATTTAAAAGGAGTATTGTTTCTCATGAAGTTATAGTTTCTAAACTTTGCAATACAGTTAATACTGTAGGCACAGAGATGCTTTAGAAATAGCTACATGAAAAAACAATCTAGTACAGATGATGCTGGTGCATTTAACCAAAGGCTTCTCACATATTTCAGTCAATTGGAGGTAGGTGCTCGTCAATAAATTTCT